AAAAAACGAGTTGGAGATCAAACAAAACTGATTGCCTGAACATCCGAGTCAACAGCGGTTCAAAGTTACTGCTGTATTGGAATTGAATTCGAGCTCCACTTCTCTCGATTCCACGATATCAAAATGACCGGTGGAATCTCAAACCCCACAAGAGCCACCACCATCTTGAGGGAAGAAATTATTGTTTTTTTTCTTTTTTTTTTTTGTAAAGGGTGAAGAAATTATTGTGGTCATTTAAGAAGTATGTAAGCCCATTCAAAAAAATTAATGAATATGTACTGAATTATTTGTCCTACCTAATACAGGGGTGTCCCTTCCCTCATTTAAGAAATGGTCAAAACCCTAATTTCTTATATATTTTAAGGCTAGGACCAAGGGTGAAAGAATCACTAAATTTTTAAAGTATAATTATCTTATGATATCATGCTCTCTTTTTCAAAATTGACCAACTTTTAAAAAGGAAATCAGGAAAATTACAATATTTTTTAATTCTCATACTATCTTTGTAATAATTATTCGGACAAAAAATACTGTTCACCTTCTTCGACCTCATGACACACGAACAGTAGCTGCGGTAATCCCCTCAGATCACTTCACATTTTTCTCTCTCCCCTGATCTCTCTTCTTCCCCTTCCCCTTTCTTCTTTCCACTTTCCTCTATTTTCCGTTCCTCTCAAACATAACTACCACGTCTCATTGTCCGGATGCTCAGCCGACAAGCACACAAGGCCACTTTTATATTTTATAATATAATACATAGTCGCTCTCTCTCTCTTTCCCCACACTCAGCCAAATCCAAATTTTGCAGTAGAGACATACCAGAGAGAGAGAGGAAAGGGGAGGAGAGAAACATCTGCAATTACCATGTAGCAGTCCTTTTCGGTCCAAGTGCCCCTGCGACAGGTATGTTGGATTTTAATCTCATAAGAGATTAAATCCAATGGGTTTGATTGGTCAATTACATGAGAAATTGCACCTACACACTTGATTGAAAAATTAGTTTTTTTCTTGCAAAACCCAGTTTTAAACTTGTCCCACATTGAAAAATTATAAGCTTTGTTTTCATTATTTTAATAGGAGCTGATTTACACTCCTTAGAAATAGTAGAGGAGAGTATGGGGGTTTGATACCGCGCACACGTGTGTGCGGTGCAATGAGGCGCACTTTGCTCGCATTTCACACGCACCCGCGTGGCTTGCAAAGGGCGGCTTTGGTTTTGGTGCGATGCTGACCGTTGATCACCGTTCATGATATCAACGGTCACGATTCGGTCAGGTGTGATCAAGAGGCACAATTCAAAGTTAACAGTCATTAACTGTTAACTACTTTTTAAACAGTCACAATGTTTGAATTTGTGACTGTTCAAGGTGCCTTCTCTGAATCAGCACCTACATTTTCTTCATACCTCTTCATAAACTATTTAAGTAGCATGAATCAGACTTCAAAAACACACATTTTCGAAATCCACTTTCTCTCTCTCTTAGTCTGGTCTGCTACAATCTCACAGAAGGTTTCTCCGGAGATTCTTCAACTTTGCTAGTTGCTGATTCTCGCCCAAGGCTCTGTTGTATCATAGGAATGGATTTGCCTGTAACCCAACAACAAACTCAATGAAACTAAGTGGGGGCAAATAACGTTCTAAAGACAGTGTCTTCAGACACGCCTCAAAGCTTCTCCTCCAAAGTTATAGTGACCCCATTTTCCAACAAAGTACACGACAACACTCCCTTTCTTCAGCAACGATATAAGCGGCCTCGTACAAGCATGCCACAACTCCAAATACACCGCACCCCCCACCGCTGACGGCAACGAAGACGACGAGAACAGTAACGTTCTAAAGATAGTGTCTTCAGACGCGCCTCAAAGCTTCTCCTCCAAAGTTATAGTTACCCCATTTTCCAACAAGGTACACGACAACACTCCCTTTCTTCAGCAACGATATAAGCGGCCCCGTACAAGCATGCCACAACTCCAAATACACCGCACCCCCCGCCGCTGACGGCAACGAAGACGACGAGAACAGTGAAGCGGACACGGGGGAAGCCAAAGCCGACGGTGACGAGAGCAAAGTAGGTCCACACTCGACCACCGCCGAAGCATCTTCATTATCGCCGGTGACAGTGTTGAGATCAATAACACCTCCTGATGGAGGGTGATTCGGCCCGACCTCGTAATAAGGGGACACGTGGACATGACTCAACAGGTGACAACTCGGCATAGCCAGCTCACTACAAAGTAATAATCCACTACCCCAAGCTAGGGATCCTTCGAGCTGAAATCATCCCGAGCTAAGAGCACCTTGGTACTCATCCCGAGCTAAGAGCACCTCGGTACTCATTCCGAGCTAAGGGCACCTCGGTACCAGGTTGCGACATCAATTCATAATTCAGTTCGGGGCGTATGACCCTTAGCTTGAGAACATCAGTTCGAGGTAGAAACCAGCTCGGGTATACCGATCTACCCTCAACATAATCCCGATAATCACTCTAACGGTTCCCAAATTTCGCGGGATCATGTTTCGCAACAACTAAGCATTACCTCCTCGTCCGATTCGGGCGGAAGTGATTAGCCTTATCAACTGATAACGTTATCTCCAGATAACACGGAAACATACTCTATCATGGCAAAGATCACAGAACTACTCCGTAAAGCCCGTGAGGACTTCATTATATAAAGGCCTCCCTCTCGGGGCCCAAAGGTATGCGCAATTACTGCTTACTAGCTCTCTTGCTCTTTGATTACTCTTAGTTCGCATATACTGACTTAAGCATCGGAGTGACCTTGCCAGGTAAGCACCCCCGGGGTCTTTGATTTTCTATGCATATTTTCCACGTTCGTTGTCTATTGGAAGCTAAGCCACCGCTAGCTAGGAGAAGCCAGATTGCGCAGCATCACCTCCCATCAAAATCAGAAAAAAAAACCCTACAAATCAAGTGAAAGAGACCCACCTCTGCATTGTAGTGATGTTTGCATATGCATTTAAGCTTAACCTGCACACCCCCCTACTCAATGTTCTCTAAAGGAGTTTGATGGGTCAAAACTCTAAAAGAGACCCGCCTCGCCATGTGTCCGTACTCCTCCTGAATCCTGATCCCCTTTTTATTTCTTTAATTATTTATTTTATTAAATAATTTCAAATATACGTGAGTAAGGGGGAATATTTATCTTTCTCAGTAAAACATTTGCAATTACCATGTTCTCAGCAAAATAATTTCAACAGGTGAATTGGGGAAGGAGTAGAACGACTGGAATGTTGATTGAAGTAAAATGAAACCGAACATGATGGGCATATAGATAGAGGACTGTTTTTGTAGATGTTTCTCCTCAAGGGGAAAGGGGAAAGCAGGAAGAAGAAAGGGGAGGAGAGAAAGGGGAAGGGGAAGATGAGAGAACGGGGGAGAGTGAGAGGGAGAGAGAGAAATGTGAAAGAATCTGAGGTAGAAGGGATTACCGCTGTTCATGTATCGTGAGGTTGGAGAAGATGAACAATGTTTTCTATCAGAATAGTTATTACAAGGGTAGTATGGGGATTAAAAAAATATTATAACGGTGAATTTCAATGGAAAGCTAATGGAAGGGGGTCTTTGTCTCACAGTCATAGTACAGGGGGTATTTGTCACAAAACAAAGTACATGGGAGTCTTTATCACAAACCCTATAGTACAGGGGTCTTTAATTTACCCTAATTAATATGAACACAATTAACCTTTAATCACTTCCAAGTATGGCAGGTTTAAATACCCACGAATATGGATTTCATCCTCACATAATCATCTCTCATGAATGATAAGAGTTCACATCTGCAGATGATGTCTTATTTATCATCGAGAGATGTTCTCAATACAAAATCGGGAAGTGTTGTGGGGCATTATGGGGAGCAAATCTGAACTCGAATGATAACTGAAAAAATGCAAAGTATGAGAGATATTCCTAATGCAAGGCTGCAACTTTCTGTCATTTATGAGTTCTACCTCACAGAATGCGCCCCAAAAACACATACATCTCAAAAACGCCTCACATCTCAGTATGCATTAAGAATATCTCCCATGCTTATCATTGAAAAATATTTTCAATATCTAATTGAGATATGCTATGGGACATGGGGGCAAATTTGGAATCGTTATTTATGAGATCACATCTCCACTCCACAAGGAACCGCCCCACAGCACATCCCGTTGTGTATTGGAAATATCTCCCAACGATGATATTATCATCAGTTATCATATATATATATATATAATTGGATCAGAATTGGTTCTTACTTTTCTTAACCGATATCTTTTAATATAAAGTTTCAAATTATTATTATCATAGGTAATTATGGATTTTTGGGTCGAAATTGGTAATCAGAGATTGTCGGCTTTGGAATGTATTTTAGCCCCAATCTAGCAAAAGAGAAATTTCACTCTTTAGCCCAAGCTAGCCCATTATTTAGGAAGGCCCGAAATTTCCGACCCAAAAAATATCCAACCCAATTCGCCCTATTAAAGTGGGACCATCCTCATCGGCCAATCGGAGTTCCCCAAAACGTAGATGATGCGGAAGGTTCCCATCCAACGGCTACACGTCGCTATCTCTGTATCTCCTTCATAAGCAGAAGCACTGAAGCAGCTCAAGACAAGAGGAACGTCTCGGATCTGCGCCTAATACACGGTCCCAACAGAGTCCCAACAAGTTAATCGCATCCGTGCATCGAGAACATCGCAGCCGTTCACGGCGAGATACTTCCAATGAACAGCCGCAATGGCGTGCTGGAACATGGTTGGGACCAGGTCCAGACTCGTGAGCGCATGGCAGATTTCGGAGGAGACGTGATTGGTAAAGATTCTTCGTTCTTTTTAAAGGAAAAGCCCAAAATTGACTAACCAACCAGACAAGCCAGCCACAGTCAGGACCCCCACAAGAGTGGGACCCACGCGGCGCATATTAGACGTTTCCGAATTCGGACACCGAGAGTGACTTTTATCCTCCTCTCACGTCTCGACCCCCCCCCCACTTGAATTGAATCTCAGAAACGTATGCACTCACTGTGGTTTTGTAAGCGCGTGTCAGGAGAGAAGTCTTGGGTTGTCAGCACTCACCAGTCACCACTCAGCACCGAACTCTGTTTTCTCGAAGACCGACACTTAGAAGCGACACTTTCGTCCTTACGTGCCCTTCAATTCTCTGAGGAACAGAGATCGCAGGAAGTGGAAAGGAAGCTCCTGGTTCTTTAGAAGCTTTGATCAGGCATAGGCTTTTGTTCTCTTCCTGTTCCTGCAATAGTTTCAGTTACTGTAACTCTTTGGATCTTCCACTGAGTTTCCGTTACTGTCTTTTCTGTCTTATGGTTGTTTATCCATTGTATAATTGCTGGTTGTGTTGGGTTTTCAATAATTTTACTTGATTGATTTTTCTTATCATCAATCGTCGATTCATCTCTCCCGGAGTTTTTGTTTCTCTGTTTCCCTTTTTGTTTTGGGTGTTGGATTGGGATGGAGGAGCGTTACGAGCCATTGAAGGAACTTGGGTCGGGGAACTTTGGTGTGGCGAGGCTAGTCAGAGACAAGAAGACGAAGGAGCTTGTTGCGGTTAAGTATATCGAGAGGGGGAAGAAGGTGATCATCTAGTAACCACTTCTTTTCTTTACTTTCTGTTTCTGTCCACTGCTGCATTGCTTGAATTAGGTTTCTCATCAAAGTGGAATCCCGAATTCCTTTGATCTTTGTTTCTCTACCTTTTCAGTTTTCCGTTTCTTTTTAACTTGTTATAGTTGATTCTTTTTTGTTACTTGTGTTTTTTTTTTTTTTTCATTAAGCATGGCATAATTAAAATCTTTTCTGGTGATGTAATGGGGATGGGTTTATTTTTTATTTTTTTTTTTTGAGTTTTCATTTGATTTCTACTTTGCGTATTGAGGTCTTTCACATTCGAAATCCCACAACTCATATGTCGTTGATTGGGATGTGTCCGTTTTGTAACTTGAAGTTCAATTTGAATTGGGTTTTGTCCTGATATTCGTTTTGTTTCTTCACAGTTTTATCATGCTTATAGCTGTGGGGTTGTTCTGAATGTGAATTCTGATTTTGGTTCAGATTGATGAAAATGTTAAGAGGGAAATAATCAATCACAGGGCTTTGAGGCATCCGAACATTGTCCGGTTTAAGGAGGTAAGGCATCCATTTTGATTGACAAGTAAATATTGTTGGAGCACGAACTGGATTTTGTATTATAAGTTCATGGAATGACTTTATGTTACTTGATCTGTGTAAGGTTCTTCTCGATTTGATTACACTGATGGAAGCAATGGATGAGGGACAAGGGGCAGGGTATGCCATATACCCATTACAAGAAACGAGAGCCCTAAGGTCTCCAAATCCTCCAAATGAAAAACAAAATGACAAAGAAATTGATAGTGGTGATTCACGTAAAGTAGTTACCTCAGATAACAATGTTGTAGTGTTGAATATATCTTGCTTTACCATGTCTGGTCCAGTTGGTTATTTTACAACTCTTGAGTATGACAGTGTAATTATTTATTATGATAGAAATGCCATATTTTGCATTTCCAAATATTCTTGGAAGCATTGTCCTTTGTTGAAGATTGCATGAAACAAAACTAGCTACTTTGCTCACTTATTTTATAGTTTGCACTATATTTTGACCAGTTACAGTTTACACTACTATTATATTCATTTATTAGCAAAATGTCAAAGTTGTTTGCTTCACCAGTTATTTTGGAATTGGATCAACATGATCTGGTTAATAATCAAATTTTGGTTTGGGCATTTTCTTTGCTCAACAAGTTGAGTGCCAATAGGTTAAGCGTGATTGATTGATTCAGGTCAGTCTGCTGTTTAAGAACCAAAATAACCTAATTAATAATTGGACTCAGCATTTTCTCATTGGATTGAGCTTCAAGTAATGACCCGGTGCAGTCTTATCATGAGGACAATGTCAGTCTTTGATCCCCATCTAATTAAAATGATTCTTGCATCTAATTAAAGAAATATTAGGTGGTAATATTTCTTTTGACCTTGATAAGATCAAGTGTTGCATTGGCTCTTCTACATGATGAAGTATCACCATTGTTTTTTTTGCAATTGACACAACGCAGATTAAAGACAAAAGAAGAATTGAGCGACTTAGGAGCCATTTGTTAATGGCTGAAGTAGCTGAACTGAATAACTTATCTATTTGTCTTTTAAAATATTCAAGGTTATATTAATCAGTTCAACTTCAGGTTCATTAATTAAGGAGAGCTCTCAACCTCTTTAATAAATTGTTCACTAAAAGACAAAGTAATAAGTCATTCAGTTCAGTCACCTATTCTGTTATTAAGCAGCCCCTTAGGATTGTTGGACCATTTGCTTGGGATCCAGACCTTTGGGGAGATACACTATATCTTATTCAAGTTTATGCATTTTCTTTACAGTCTTATGTCATTAAATAAAATACTTCAAAATATTACTTGAATTTTGTCACCAAATATTTGTACTAAATTTCTACACATCTTCAACTAATGTTGTATGGTATAACTATGGATCTTCATGGATGATACCTCTGTATGTTTGTTAAGTTGTATATGATGGGATATGAATAGAATCAAAAACATAAAAAAAGATTAAATTATAATTATCTGCCTTCAGGTCTTGTTGACACCAACACATCTAGCTATAGTGATGGAATATGCAGCTGGTGGTGAGCTCTTTGAGAGGATATGCAGTGCTGGTAGATTTAGTGAGGATGAGGTGGGTAAAAGTCTTGATACATAATCTCTTTATCTCCTTTTGGTTCTATATTCTCTGGTTATAGTTGCATTTTTTTCATGCATATCAAAGTTCATATTGTCAGAGTTAATTCTTCAGTTGTTCTGGCAATAATCTTATATGCAACAGGCTAGGTTTTTCTTCCAACAACTAATTTCTGGAGTTAGCTACTGCCATTCTATGGTATGATATCATCCTTTTTCTTGATGTTTAGACTAGAATATGATCTTCTCATGGTACAGTGATGTTGATAATTGTTTCTTGTGCAGCAAATTTGTCATAGGGACCTGAAATTGGAGAATACACTGTTGGATGGAAATGCAACACCACGTCTTAAAATATGTGACTTTGGTTATTCTAAGGTTTGTGATTTTCTGGTTCTGGATTAATCTTTGGTATCGTGAACAGGGACTTTGACTAATCAACTTTTTCTTCTTTTTTCCCCTTACATTGCAGTCTGCTTTACTACACTCACAACCAAAATCAACAGTAGGAACACCAGCATACATTGCTCCAGAAGTCCTATCAAGGAAGGAATATGATGGCAAGGTATTTAACTTTCCCTTTAACAGGTGAAATAATACAATCAATTTCTTCTGGGATTAATGATCAAGGGAAAAGAAATGGAGAAAAAAAAGGGAAGTTTGCTGGGATTTTGATATTTATTTATGTTGGTGTATGGTACAGGGGATACTAGTTCTAACCATTTACATATGAACATTACTTGGGTGATGGTCCAAAAGTGAAATTACATTTCATCAAAAGTATCTCATCCATTGCCATTTCACTGATATTTTTGCAAACCAGTTTAGAGAGACTTTTTCTTTTCTTTTCTTTTTTTCTTTTTCGGGGGGGAGCAATACAGCTCGTACTAGTCATAGGGTAGTAAGGTGGACCTCAGCTGAAAGGAAATGAGGATAATCCTGCTATTTTGTATGACCATGTATTCAATATTCACATCACCAGAAAATTCATTATTTGATTTTTTTCAACAAAGGCATGATAAAAAAACAGGCATTTCAGATTGTAGTCTGGATTTTAATATTTTAAATGGCCAGGAAGCTTGTGAAACAGGATTTCTGTAGCCAACCCCATATAGTTGGGATAGGGCTTATATGAAGATGGTGATGAAATGTCCTGGAAGCTTGACACTTGGATAATATGGATTGTAGAATTAGGTGCCTTTGTTGTTCACTTACCCAACAAACAGAACCCAATCCATTCTTTTACAACTGTCTTTTATTACAACCTCAGGAATGAGTTTTCCATTACAAAACTCAAAGATGGTTTCAGTAATCAGAGAGATGCATGTTATGGATTTTTATATCATTGATCTAGGTTTTTTATCTATAACATTCATGGCTTTTTGGCATTTCTTCAATTGCAGATTGCAGATGTTTGGTCCTGTGGTGTGACACTTTATGTCATGTTAGTTGGAGCATATCCATTTGAGGATCCTGATGATCCTAGAAATATTCGGAAGGCCATTGGTGTGAGTTCTTTTGTAGAACCATTGTAATTATTACCCTTCAGATATGTATATTTGAATCCATAGTTGATTCTACCAGCAAACTGATATCCTGCAATATGCTTAACAGAGAATAATGGGAGTTCAGTACTCCATACCTGACTATGTACGTGTCTCAGCAGATTGCAGACAGCTCCTTACTCGAATTTTTGTTGCTAATCCAGCAAAGGTATCTTTCTGTCTGTAACTATTTGATTCTTTTTCAACACCATCATAATTTTGACACGTTGTGGTTCATCATCTGTCTTATCCACCTTGAAGAGGATCACCATTCCAGAGATAAAAAAGCATCCTTGGTTTCTAAAGAACTTGCCAAAGGAACTAGTTGAATATGAGAAAAATTATGAGGATCCAAACAAGGACCAACCAGCTCAAAGCATTGAAGAAATAAATCGGATTATCGAAGAGGCACGTGTACCTGCAAAAAGTTCCAAAGCTGGAGGACCGTCTTCACTTGGGTTGGTTGACCCTGATGATGGGGAGGCTGATGTAGAATCTGAGGTGGACAACAGCGTTGACTACGCATCCCGAGTATAATCTCAGTTTGCATTCTGCTGTTATGAAGGCATGCATCTGTAAAATATATTCCGCAGTATTGGTAATCTAAGAAGTACTATATTGTTGCCTTTTCTGTATAGTGTCATGCTATTAGACTTGGATAGAGTGCTGGTTTATGGTAGAAGAAGTAATGTTTTGCAAGATATACTGGCAGCAGACACTATCCAAGTAAATTGAAGTTGGAACATGGGTCTGGTTTGATTTTCTTCTGCTTATAGATTAACCCATTAGTCTTGTGTATTTTACTTTTTTATATTGGCTTAAAACTAGTTACATGCTTGCTTCTCTCTACGCCTACTTGTTTACATTATCAGAAGTGCCTGATTATTTGATCTGTTTAATTTGAGAATATAACCTGGTTTGTTGACAAAGAGAAAACTGCTTATCAAATACTACACAAGTACACAGTTTTAATCTAGGTTCTGTGCCTCTGTCAATTGAGGTATTAGAAAAGCTCGAGCTCGGCTCGGCTTGGCTTCAATCAAGCTCAAGCCCAATTCACTGGCTCGATTATGAAACGAGCTGAGCTCGAGCCTTGCATTATTCGGTTTGGCTTGGCTCGGCTAGAATCCACCCCTATAGAAGAGAAAACATTTTCTCTATGCATTTCATAATTAAAATCTGTTTAGGTAAGTTCATCTGTACTTCTATGACTTTTTTTTTGTTTTTTTACTTCTATGACCTTTGTGCTGTCTTAAAAGTGTGAGAAAAAAGGAAGATAGGACGGATAGGTTCATCTACTTAATTTACCAATATTATCATAAAAACATTTTCATAGAAGCCAACAAATTCAAGCATAGCCTTGACAGCTGGTGACTGGTGAGGCATCATTCAATTTGGGTGCAACTTCATAAAAAGCCCATGGTGCTCGACTCCAAGCCAAACCAGCCAAACCAGTTTCTAATCCTAATAACACTAAATAACAGTGCAATATTTTGTTGGGCTTCTTTGGGGATAGTCAGAATAGCCTTTCATAATCAGCTCAGAAAGGGGAACACTAATGGGTCAAGGCAAATTCTCCAGTGTTTTCTTGGCTTGGTTTAGGTGTTATTCCTAGGCTCCTCAACCTAAGGCTGTGTTTGGTTTGGTATAGAACATAAGAGAGAAACAGCAAGTTGTTGGGAGAAAGGTCTTAACAAATTTTATGATTCCCTGAAGGCTTCAACCTTCTGTTTCTCTTCTATTGAGGGGTCCATCAGTTCAGGATAGCTAGCTGAACCGAGGACTGTGTTTTATGATTTCAGACCCTCAACTGTAAAGTGAATATATTATTTGGAACTATACATATTATAGGAACTCCGATGGTTAACGGTGCAGACCAGAGAAGACTTAATGAAAGAAAAAGATAATGCTTGGATACAGTGAAACCAATTCTCTACCCCTACCCCGCAAGGCCCCAACTTGAATAAGCTCCCTCCATTCGTTATGCTGTCCAGTTCATTTTGCAAATTCGAATGAACTTTGACAAGGAACTAAGGGTCCTTTTGGTTTATATAATCAGAATCAGAATCTATATTCCTCAAAATCAGAATTGGAGTGATCTATTTTTATAAAGTCTGTTTGGTCAATGGTCATTCCCTCAAATCGGAAATAGGATTTTGATTCCGTTCAACCAAACAATTGGAATTGGAATTGGTGATTCCAATTTCGATTTCAGACCTCTATTCCCATAAACCAAAAGGGGTCTAATAATCATTTTAGTAAATAAAATCAACTATAATATACTGGAAAAAATGTAAGGAATTTGTGCATAAATAATAGGGCTGTTCACAAACAATGGCAAACCGATCAAACTGGCCCGACCCAATCTGATTTGGTTGATTTTTCTTCACCACCGATCGGCTTCGGGTTGTGAAGAGAGATAAACAGATGATTCAGTTTGGTTTCGGTTTTCATGTGTGAAAATCAAAACCGAACCGGGTTAGTTAGCTTCTGATTTCCTAGTATTTTCCTAACTAGGTAATCCTTATCCTAGTTTATTCTTTTGAGTTAGTTACTTATTTTTAACATTAAAGAAAAATAAAACATTGGTTAAATGTGAATTACTTTGTCTTTAGGATTGTTTTCCTTTTTTGAGTAATAAATTTTACACCAAATATAGGGCTGTTCACAAACAATGCCAAACCGACTTGGGTCGGTTTTGCTTAATGGCAGGTCAGTTTCGATTTGCTCTTTAAGTAACTCGACTAGGCCGGGTCGGTTGAAAAAATCTATTAAACCGACCCAACTCGACCCATGAACAGCCCTAAAAAATAAAACAATAATGATGTCTCGGCAACTGGGTCAGGACCATGGTTGATGTAAACTTAGTACAGATCGAGCAATGTTTCTGAGTCACACTCTTGTATTATACTATTATCTAGACTTAATTTTTGCAGCTAGAACACCTGAGCAATAGAAATTAATAGTCCATAGATTTTGTAAGAGTGGGCGGCTGTGCTTAGAGGCTTGTCTATTGGAAAAAATGTCAAGGAGTTTAAGGCAATGGTATGTCGGTTTGAAGGAAAGAGTAGGGAAAGGAAAGGAAATGCAGGAAAACCTTTACAAACTTTGTATGGTTTTCCTATCTTTCCTTACCTTCTTCTTCAAACCAAACATAACCTAAGGGCTTCAAATGCTCTTATTTTGGAGTCAAGTGCTGGAATCTAGAAGTTTAGAGGGGTGAGAGGTTTTTGTCGCAAAACAAAGTTTGAGGGGCTAATGAAGATGCAAATGTTTTGAAAGCTATAAAAGAATTACATGCACCCCAAAAGCAAAAATATTTCTTTGGATATTAATCTGAAATAAATTCCAGTAAAACCAATTTTAACAATAAGAGGTATCAATTTGGACTGAATTTTTTGGGAGTGGAGGATAGAGGCCCAACAAGTTTGGGCCTTAGTTGATCAACAGATTCAAGGTCCTAGAAGGGAATGGTGGACTATAATGATAAAGAAGAAAATTAACACTAAACATGAAAAAAAAAAGTAAGGATCCGTTTGGTTTACAGTCGGAATTAGAATTGGAATCAGAATCGAAATCCTCCAAAAGCATAACCAGAATGACCTATTCCCATAGTCTATCAGGAATAGGAATGGAAATTAGAATCGGATGGAATGGGATTTCATTCCCAAGGGAGGGGGAGAGAATGACCATTCCCTTAAATGGGGGAATGCCATTCCACCAGGAATGGATATGAGATTCTGATTCTGTGCGACCAAACAGTTGGATTCTGATTTCAGACCTTTATTCCTACAAACCAAACAGGCCCTAAATTTCTTACTCTGCCTCTTGTGGAAGGATGTAAGTGGAAAATGTTTCAGAAGTAGGATTTATACTCCACCTCAAATTGTAGAAAGAGCAACTCAACTATCAACTATGTATGGGTCCCTATAAAATAACATATGTGCACATGTATAAATTATGTGTAAATAAGGGTCTTATAAATAACACATACAAATATGTATGGATTGGGCTGGGCTTGGGCCCCAATCCTTCAGACCTCTAAAATTTATGGACCTGATGCAGGCTTGGGCCCAGAATTTCTAAATAACACATACAAATATGTATGGGTTGGGCTGGGCTTGGGCCCCAATACTTCAGAAATCTNATACAAATATGTATGGGTTGGGCTGGGCTTGGGCCCCAATACTTCAGAAATCTGAAATTTGTGGACCTGATGCAGGCTTGGGCCCAGAATTTCTAGGCCAGGTTGAAAGTATCACACCCACCCGCTCCCCCATCTTGAGTGGGGGGAGTAATGGGCTTGGGTTGGCCCAATTTCTGCACTTCCTTTAGCATTATTATATGTAAAAGGGGTATAATTATCATATTTTTCAAAAAAAAATGCTTTTAAACTTAAAATTGTTAGCATTCATACATACATACATGCATGCATACATACATATATATCTATATATATATATATATATATATATGAAACTAATTAATTAACAGTCTTGGTCAAATCCCAAAAGTTAAATCACCATATAAAGCTCAGATAGATGTTTCTCATACACTTAATATAAGATGTACAATTTAGAAGTCATAAGGGCACTTGTAAATAGCTCACTCTCTCAAATATTCTAATTGTGTACATGCTTTGCTACACCAGTCTGATTTATGCAATTTAAAAGTGGTCGAGAAATTATTCTCCATAAGCAATTTATCGAGTAGCTCGTTTTGTTCAATCTCGAATCCTATTTTACCACACTTGTAGCCAAAAACATATGGCTAACTCGCACATATAACACTCAGTATTTGTGGGCTTCCATTCATACTTTATACTCCTTAATTTTACAAGGTTTAATTTATCAGACTTGGGATCGGATATTGAATATAAATTAAAATTGTTTGAAATATCATAAAATTGAATTAAAAATGATTTTGATATTGTATTCCATGAATAAAATGAATCAAACAATAACATGTATCAAACCTGAACCTATGACTTATATCATATTGGATAATGATGGAGCCATATTTGAGCCAATTAATTATAAAATGGATCAAATTCAGACCATTGATGGGATTGAATTTGAATTTAAATTTGGACAATTGGATAATTCAAATTGATGGAATTGATTTTGAATTCAAATTCGGATCAAAAAAGTATAGTTTCAAAACCATACTTATTTTTGGGGAAAACTGGACAATGTGATAGAGGTTGTTTTGTTTGTGTGTGTGTGTTTGGGAATCTGACTACATGTGTATTTTCGCTATTTACTTTTGTTCTCAAGGTCATTGCATAAGAAGCACCATAAAAAATAAATAAAAAAGACCCACCATCAAAATTTGTAACAAAGCCATCAAAAGTAATGTTCTATTTTGCTAGTTCTATTATCAGACACTAGGGGTGAATGAGTTGATCATTTTCAGTCTGACCTAAAAATTCTAAGCTTCAACCCAGGTTTTGTGTTAAGTCCAGTCTAGGCCTGACCCAGCCCAAAATTTTTTCGGAAAAATACAGACAGCCCATTGTAGATTTCTGAATTCCACTGCAGACCTATGCAAATTCAAAATGTCAAATATTTCCACACTATACACCAATGCCCACTCGTGAATTGGTATCAATTCAGAGCTGGCACCTACTTCAATTGTACTTTGGGCCTAAGAATTCTGATCTTGGGTTGAACTGTCATTCTCCCAACTTTTTTATAGAATATATAAATATTATGAAATGACATTTAAAATATTATATGAATTAAATCTAGCGTATTAAATGACTTAGGCTGAAAGCCCAATGAGACCCCTACAAATCCCGCCTGGGGTATAATCGTTATAATAGGTGCTAAGCCTGGCCTAGGCCATGA